TTTTCACAGCTTAGAACCACTTCACTATAGTGAAACCACCTTTGCAGGAGGTTACTTGCAGTCTAATATAAATGTATTAATTCGTTTTGAATACTTTGAATTTTTCAATAATTTAAATTTTATTCAAAGCATTCAAATATTCACACAAGCCTAATATTTTTGCAATTTTATGGGCTGTGTAGGGCAGTGATAGGATTTCCTTATCAGAAGTAAAGCGATTTCCGCTTCTTGCTCGTCATCGATCACCGAAAGGGGAGGTTGATTGACACAACATTCCCGAGGATGACATTCGTAATTACACCAGAAAACTAAATCTTTCTTTAAATAAAACTGGCCGCTTACTTCTTAATTCACAAGTCACCAGCATAGGGCAGAATGAAATGGAATAGGAAAAACTTTATTTGGGTCCGCCGGGGCATGAACTAGCACGTAGCCGACCACACGAACGAGCCTTTGCGTAGATTATTGTTGGTGTTCCTTCCTTTTTCTTTTGCTATCTGCCTACTTTTCCACCACCGATTCCGCAGTCAGCTTTTACCTATTTCTATTCTGACCTGTTTACCCTTGCGATGCCTTTACTAAACCCCGAAGGTAGGCTAGTTCTCTTACACGCAACCGGAGGATGTTTGCACATTCAATGAAATGCGCTCCGTAGTTTCCTCATCTTCCCCTCACGTGTGCAATTCTCTTCTTCACTGCATCTCAATTTATAATTATGCATACTAAAGCAACCCGACCTCGCTTCAAATAGCAAGGCCGAATTGAGATTACATTCATTAATTAGGTTCATTAAATTAACTGGATTATTGTAAAGTATACCCTTGCCTATATCGTCCTTACCCTTTCGATGGTCACCCAGAGCCGACTTTTTCATTTTTTTTATCGCTGCTACCCAATATACATTTTTTCCGCCTCTCCCACATTTGCCTCAATGCTCTTTGTCATCGTATCACTTACGCTGCCACTGCATACTTGCCGATGAGACTCCTAGCTTTTTTTCTCAACTGTGAATGAACCCTCTTCCAATTAAAATAAAAGCATGCCTTCTCTACCCATCTCCTGTCTTACATGTTCTTTACTCACTCTGAAATTTTTGCAAACTAATTTTCAAAGTCACTGCCAACTTCAGTGCCACTGCACTTCTGCATGTGGTACAGTGGTGTAGCCTGTACCTTTTTTATCACTGCATTGCACTATTTTTAAGTGTAGGGTAAAAAGTAGGGTAGTAAAAAACTGTGCGGGGTAAATTAGGGTAATCTTAACAATCACACAGAAAATCTTCTAAAAATTGGTTAGCAACACTGATGGGAGCAGGTAGCGAGATGTCAACGAATGCGATTGGAGTCCCCACTGCAGATCAGAGCGTGAGCATGGCATGGCTCTCCTGCACATACGCCTGCATATGCACCTGCAGCATGTGCATACTGCAGTGCGTGTGAGGACACGATGGCACCCAAATGGCAAAGTTCGAGGATTGAGAAGCAGCAAGAAGTTATCTGATTTCTAACAGCAGAAGGTGTTACGCAAGCCACCATTCATCGTTGGATGGTGACCACATACGGGAAAGACAGTGTGTCCGATAAGTCCGTGAGAACATGGAGTGCCCGTTTTCGCGCAGGCCATGAAGGTTTGATGACCCGAGACCAGGCACGTCCACAAGTCTTCAGGGAAACATGCCGCAGAACTGGTCAAGTTCAAGCTGCTTGACCATCTGCCCTATAGCCCGCACATGTTGCCCGGCAATTTCAGTGTGTTCGGGCCCCAAAAAAAAACGTCTAGAAGGGATGCGCTTCAACTCAGACGACCAACGCAAGGATGCTCTGAAAGACTGGGTCTCGTCACAGCAACAAATATTTCTTGTACAAGCAATTCTTTGGCTTGTTTATCAATGGGATCGTTGGGCTCAGGCCTACGTGTATACTTTGAATAATATTCATTTATGAATGCAGTATTGTTTCGTACCTTTTCCTTTGAACACCCCTAGTTTGTTCATTAACTTGACCCTGCAAACACATACATAGAGCACAATCCATCAGTCTCATTAAATTAATCAGGGTGCTTAATCAGCCAGTACCACAATCCGATTATGACGCACATTGTGCTATGGGACTATTCGGACCAATTCTGAGCACAATGTTCTTCACTGTGCAGCCAAAGTTAGGTACTGTACATGAGCATTCTTGAATTTTGCCTCCACTGAAATGCCATAACCTCCTACTGCCTGGTCTGGAGACCAGGCTGTAGGAGATTATGGCATCGGTACTAGAAACGCCAGAGGAGAGCTACTACAGTCAACTCCCGATTACTCGGACCCTCTAGAGAGTGAAAAACCGTCCGAAAATTCGGGCAGTCCGAAAAAATGAATACAAGCAAAAAAAATGCATTATTTTACTTACAATTTTTATTCCAAGCAAACAAAATGCACCATTTCATTGATATTTCTTGGATTTGATTAATAGGCATAAAGTATGCGATGTAAGAAGATATAACATGGAGAGAATTGAACACGCTCTGAAAAACGGAGGAAGCGTCAGAGCAGTGAAGAGGAAACATGGGATAGGCAAAAATCGCATGTATGCACTAAAGGACAAAGAGGGCAAGTAACTACCAATATGGATAGGATTATTAAAATAACAGAGGAGTTTTACAGAGATCTGTACAGTAGCCGGGATAACCACGACCTTAATACTATAAGAACTAGCAGTAACCCAGATGACACCCCACCAGTAATGATAGAAAAAGTCAGAAAAGCTTTGGAGAGCATGCAAAGAGGCAAAGCTGCTGGTGAGGATCAGGTAACATCAGATCTGCTGAAAGATGGAGGACAGATTGTGTTAGAAAAACTAGCCACTCTGTTTACGAGGTGTCTCCTGACGGGAAGAGTACCAGAGTCTTGGAGGAATGCTAACATCATCTTAATGCATAAGAAAGGAGATGACAAGGACTTGAAGATTTACAGGCCGATCAGCTTGCTCTCTGTAGTATACAAGCTATATAAAAGGTAATTGCTAACAGAGTAAAGAAAACACTAGAATTAAATCAACCAAAGGAACAAGCAGGATTTCGAACAGGCTACTCAACAATCAACCACATTCATACTATCAATTAGGTAATAGAGAAATGCTCACAATAAAACCAACCACTATACATAGCCTTCATTCATTACGAGAAAGCGTTTGATTCAGTAGAAATATCAGCAGTCGTCCACACACTACGGAACCAGGGCGCCGATGAAGCATATATAAACATCCTGGAAGAAATCTACAGGGGATCAACTGCTACCATAGAGCTTCATAAAGAAAGCAACAGAATACCAATCAAAAAGGGCATAAGGCGGGGGGACACAATCTCCCCAATGCTATTTACCGCGTGCTTACAGGACCACATTCATACTATCAATTAGGTAATAGAGAAATGCTCACAATAAAACCAACCACTATACATAGCCTTCATTGATTACGAGAAAGCGTTTGATTCAGTAGAAATATCAGCAGTCGTCCACACACTACGGAACCAGGGCGCCGATGAAGCATATATAAACATCCTGGAAGAAATCTACAGGGGATCAACTGCTACCATAGTGCTTCATAAAGAAAGCAACAGAATACCAATCAAAAAGGGCGTAAGGCAGGGGGACACAATCTCCCCAATGCTATTTACCGCGTGCTTACAGGACCACATTCATACTATCAATTAGGTAATAGAGAAATGCTCACAATAAAACCAACCACTATACATAGCCTTCATTGATTACAAGAAAGCGTTAGATTCAGTAGAAATATCAGCAGCCGTCCACACACTACGGAACCAGGGCGCCGATGAAGCATATATAAACATCCTGGAAGAAATCTACAGGGGATCAACTGCTACCATAGTGCTTCATAAAGAAAGCAACAGAATACCAATCAAAAAGGGCGCAAGGCAGGGGGACACAATCTCCCCAATGCTATTTACCGCGTGCTTACAGGAGGTTTTCAGAAGCCTAGAATGGGAACAGTTAGGAATAAGAGTTAATGGAGAGTACCTTAGTAACCTGCGCTTCGCCGATGACATTGCATTGCTAAGTAACTCAGGGGACGAATTGCAACTCATGATTACGAAGTTAGACAAGGAGAGCAGAAAGGCGGGTCTTAGAATTAATCTGCAGAAAACAAAAGTAATGTACAACGACCCTGGAAGAGAGCAGCACTTTGAGATCGCTAATAGTGCACTTCAAGTTGTAAACGACTATGTCTACTTAGGGCAGGTAATAACCGCGGAGCCGAACCGCGAGATTGAAGTAACTAGAAGAATAAGAATGGGGTGGAGCACATTTGGAAAGCACTCTCAAATTATGACAGGTAAATTGCCACTATCCCTCAAGAGGAAGGTATATAACAGCTGTATCCTGCCGGTACTTAGCTATGGAGCAGAAACCTGGAGACTTACAAAGAGGGTTCAGGTTAAATTGAGGATGACGCAGCGAGCAATGGAAAGAAAAATGGTAGGTGTAACCTTAAGAGACAAGAAGAGAGCAGAGTGGATTAGGGAACAAACGGGGGTTAAGGATATCATAGCTGAAATCAAGAAGAGGAAATGGACACTATGGACACAGGCCGGGCATGTAGCGCGTAGACAGGATAACTGCTGGTCATCAAGGGTAACTAACTGGATTTCCAGAGAAGGCAAGCGGGTTAGGGGGAGACAGAAGGTTAGGTGGGAATATGAGATTAAGAAGTTTGCGAGTATAAACTGGCAGCAGCAAGCACAAGACCGGGTTAACTGGCGGAACGTGGGAGAGGCCTTTGTCCTGCAGTGGAGGCAGTCAGGCTGATGATGATGATAAAATACAATTGAAGGCAATGGAATTAAACCCGCACCACCTCAGGCTTAGCACTGAATGCTAATAGATACTACTCTACTGCGACAGACAAAGCTGTAAGACTAGACATCACGCACTTCCACGGGATGGTGCAGTGCATCACCTCTTGAAGGCAGCAACGAAACGTGGCATCACTCACCAGGCACAGCAGCCGACTGGGAAGCCGCTTCGAGCCTGTGCAGTGTGGTGGCTGGGGCAGCGGGTGGTGGGACCAGGTTGGGTGTGGTGGCTGCCAGGAGTCCTGCGTCACCCGGGTGGCTGGCGTAGCCTGTGGCCTCCGCTTCTTGGAGGGATGCCAGCGTGGCAGTCAGCTCCACCAGCTGCTCGTGCGTGAATGACTCCATGACTGCGTGTGGCAACAGAATGTGCAAGTCAGCGACAAGATACACTTGTGGATGCACATTTGACAGCACAAGCAAAAGCCAAGCATTGGCATTACAGCATTACCTGTCGGACAGGATGGCACAGCCGGCTCCTTGGTCACCTGAGAAGAAGCTGGGAAGGAATGGGGTGCACAAAGTGTGCTGCATACATTGCCTTAAAAGGGAGAAGTGGGAGGAGGGGGTGTGCTGCAATATACTTTCACCCCACTAAAGCGGAACCCAGTTTACACCTATTAGAAAGGGGAGCACCACAACGAACCTTTGCCTCCCCTCCCCTTCCCCTGAAGGGGAACCCTGCACATGCCTATGAACAGTAGTAGGCGTTGTGCAGCTCGAGGTGACAGTGAAAATATACATAAAACGCAATGATGTCGATGATCGAAACCATTATAATGACTTTAGGTACAAAATACCAAGAAAACAATTTATACTACCAGTAATTATGTTAATTGGATGCTCATTAATTGTAATAAACAAAACCAAAGCAGGATAATTTATACCTTTATTAATTACATTATAGACAAAATAATTGTGTTAAACCAAGGCAAGGCACCCGTCTGCAAAAGACGGTCATGTAGAAAACAAGGAGAGCACAATTAGCAAGATTCCGGCAGTGCCGACGGCATATTTGAACTCTAGTGCAGAATTTATGACACCGCGCAAGCTTGCCATCTATTCACGTACATGTTTCCAGTTTTGCCACCCAATGGCATACCTGTCAAGATCAAGAATTCTGAATCAGGGAGATTTTCGTAACGGGAGAAGGGGGTGTGCTGAATTATTTGCCCCCTTTTTTTTTTTCGGCACCAAAAAGAACCAAGAACAAACAAAAAAAACCATTGCAAAAAACAAGAAGCAATGGGGGGGGGGGGGGTTTCAATCGGAAGTGCCAACATGGGCATTGCGGTCTTATAGTGAATTGGAGTGGCCGAATACACGAGGGTAGGGTTTCCCACTAAGGTTTTAAAGGATCAACACAACAAGCAGAATCTATTTCCATCAAAACAACTCGCGCATGTCTTCCTCGGACACACGCGAACGAATGGGACGACGCAGTTGGCTGCCGCAAAAGCGCCGGTCACAGCTTTGCTCGCTACTATAGAGTTTTTTTACAGGAAGACCACAACATGTCTGGCCTTATTTTTTTACGTCTTAATTGCCTTTAATCTACCGCTGCGTTAGCCGCATGCCCTCGAGGCTCGTACGTCACTATTGCGTCGCCATGACCGCGCTTTTGTGCGCAGCGGTTGTGACAAAAGGTAGTTAAAGGCATGTGCGCAGCCAAGTGCACGGGGATCGATGTTTTCCGATCCCCGTACGCTTGGCTGCGCACATGCCTTCAAAACTAAGTCGTTTTATGCCATCTACGATCGCATGTGTCCTGGTTTTGTCCGCAGAGTTTGCAGAAAGTAGCGTTGCTTTGGCTGGTCGAGCGTTGGACGCGCGCACACTTTCTGGGTTCTGTCAGTTACGTCATCGCCATACATGATCATATCAAGAATGACCGCGGTTTCGGCCACAGTGGTTGTGACAACGACAATCACACGCACTGTAGCAGACAGTTCATGTGCCGGTCACACGCATACTTCTGAAGCTTCGAGTACGCTGCTCTCGGCCTTCGTTCGACGATTTGAGTACCCGCCGTGATTAGGAAATGTGTTCGGAACATTCGAATTTAGGCCCAATAGACATAGTGAAATTTGGCTGGGAAATTTCACGAATTTGCATCTGTCGCGGTTTCGGATGACTGAGATTGTACTGTACACTTAAATGAACGCCTCTTAAATTAATCTATAATACAACGGGGTAGGATCGCAAAAAACCTGGAGCGGATTGAGCTGTTCTTTTGTCAATGCAGCCAGATCACGCACCGAATTTCAATTTCCAAGAGATTTTCATGACAACCATACAAACGCAAGAAATAGCCGAAATCCTGGAGTCTTCCTGGCAACCCGGGAGACTTGGCAGGTATTCAATGGTTTTCACAGCACAGAACAGGTCGAAATTTTCTTTTACATGCTATAACCACAATACTGTGATCGTTCTGTAGCATGCATCTAACTACAGCACTCGCGGATCAAAACATGATATCATTCTTTTTTTGTATGACTGCTATGAACAAATAGTTGTGGTAACCACATCATGTCGCAGAAAATCTCGCTGCTAAAGGTAATGTTGCTTAAGTGTTCAAGTCCAAATGAGGCCGCTATGAGGCCGATATGCTGCAAATGAAAGTGTGTGCATCACTTAGCCACAAGTGCTTGTGTTTCAATAGGTAAGCACTGTACAGTGCCGGCCACTGTAAGGGTGCGCGCGTGGCCGTGCTCCGCGAAGCACCACTACCAGCAGCGTGGCCGTGCATCGAAGCAAACCTACCCAGGGGCGGCAGTGCCTGCAGGCGTGGCTTTGCATCATCTGCTTCAATGCACGCGCTCTTGTGTGCGCCGAGCTTGCACTGCCATGAAACAAACTTTGCTTACAATGTTACGTATTTCCTATAGCCAGAACAGCCTTTGGATTTAGTGTTGCAACTTGGAGATCACCAGATTATGAATGTTAGTAAAGTTCACTTCGTAATAGAAATATTTAGGAAAAATACAGTTTTCTAGCTATAAATTGAAGGTAATGAATAATTATTTTTGAGTAGAAAGTGGCAACAAATTCTAAATTTTTTTTTAAGAATACTTCACAACGCAACATTAGCGCAGACATTTCCATGTCGGCTCTAACGAGTCTGGTGAGTACGAGAATTTCGCGTGCAATTTAAAAGGGAGCGTATTGAGGGTTAATCCTTGGCCATTGCGTTACGGTCTCGATCGCAGGCATGTGATGGAGTGAGTGGTATCATCCGATTATATATAAAACAGTTGAACTGTTCACTTTAAAGCATAAAGATAAATTATAATAATACAACTGTTTTGCATACAACTCACTAAAAAAGAATATTAATTTCAGTGTTTTATAGACGCAAATATTTCTCCTTTTTCTTATGTGAACAATAAAACGGCAATTGGAGCTTTATAAAACAATGAAGAGTAGATCGAAAGTTTATTCAAAAACAATAATGGCCAGGAATTGTTATGGCTAAAACAAAATTAGGCTATCTGACACTGCACATTCTCGTACTCCTTGTTGACGTCGCAGCATCAACGTGGGCAAAATTATGGGTTTGCTTTTATGCGACGCCAAATCGACATGGATTGCAGCTTTGTGATAAATGCTATCTTGAGCGCTTTTTCACTTTAGTAACGGGTGGCACCTCCGGAAGGCATAAATCACAGCCCTAATCCTGCCTGGTAGAGAGCTGTACAGAAAGGCCGCGGTTGGCTTTACAGTAGTCTACAGTGCATCTGACAAGAGTCGAGAGAGTCGCCAGTGTAACATTGACGTTTCCATGGTGACCCAGACATTGTCAATGATATTGAGGTTAGAAGATTGCACACGCCACTCGAGAATTTACACATACCGAGACTCCATTAATGCTCCAACTATTCTGGACTTGTGAATGGGGAAGTTGACAAACTGCAAAATAAAGTTGCCGCCAGGGAAGGGCCCGTAGAGAGGGTATGGTGGCATGACGCAGTCCAGGACTGAGCAGCACATGTCAGTGGTGAACTTGTTCTCTATCCTCACTAAGGCTCTCCAGCCGGTGGGTGGGATTGCACCCTATAGACACTCAAAGACATAAGACCACTGGCTGCTGCTACAAGCTGGATGAATTCAGGTATATCCAAAGAAAAAAGAATGTTTTTTGGGGAGCTTAGCTTTTTTTGTACAAACAAAACAATACAAAATTTTGCCTCTCATTAGACTTCCTGATATGCATGAACACACTCAGTAGACCTTTTAAAATTATAAGAAGTGTATTTCAACTTTTGGAGTACAAAACTCCGTGTGCCTTCATCTACACGCTTTTAGCACCCTTTTTCAGGATGGTAGATGTTAGAGTAATGTGCAGAATCGAGTTTTGGGCAAAGATAAAATTTAGGAATGCGATTTCATAAAAGCAGTGGCTGTAATGTCATACTCCATGCTTACTTCCGAAAACAATTAATGCCCTGGCTGTGGAAACATTGCATTTCAAATTTCAGTGATATTTATTACTATATTATAAATTAAATAAAGATTGGGCATTGCTACTTATGTTTAAGCAGTGCACGTGACCATGATGGCGTAAAAAATTTTGATCTAGACATACTACGTACAAATTTCTCAGCTTATGTGAGCTGTTTCTCACCAGCAGTTGTCCGAGTGCCACACGCGCTGCCTTTGGTCCCACCTTGTGGTAAATGGCGACTCGTCGTCTAAGACAGCATCTTGCTACTCGTGAGTGCAGTGCTCATGTTCTTGGGTAAACACTAGGCGCCTCTCGTTATTGCCCACATCGACCTTAGGACGGCTTTCCTCTTTTCGAGGTCGCTAAATGTAGGCAACCTTTCGCGATTGTATTTGATGCATGCCGCCGACACCCCAGAATTTGCTTCAGTTCTCTGAAGGCCGATGCAGCAAAGCCATCTGCTGGATCGAATGCCCCATGGCCATATTGGCTGCATTTCGGTGAAAGTGACATGCTGGAGGCCCGTGTACTTGGGTTCAGGTGCCCTTCAAAGAGCACCCAATGAAGGAAACTTCCGTGCCCTCCACGACGTCCCTCATAATCTTGTTGTTACAGGATGTTCGGGGACGTAAAACCCCATCCATTATTACAACAAGTGCAGGTGTGATGACAGCGTAACAAGTGCAAGTGTGATGATAGCGTAACAACATCTTACGAATTTCCATAGTCAACATCCTTGCAGGAATGAGACTACAAGCATTCATTATGCTTACTGGGATATCATCAATGTACTGGTAATGGAAGCCATCGCTTTACTATTACAAACAATACATCAGGACGTAAAAATGCGCCCGTTTGTTTCCGTTTTTTTTTTTTTTTTTTCATTTTGCAGCAAATGAGATTTGG